AAATGATTCATCATACTTTTGTGATGCATAATGCTGATATTGTCATTTACACGCTCTCAAAATCATTGTTTTTACTCATAAATGAGAAGAAAGTTGCTGCAAAATTTGGAAAGTGATGGCAAGCACTTGTGAAACTTTGGCACAGAGATGCTTTTCTTCTGGCAGGAGATATGCTAAGGTATTGTTTCCAGTTTTCTCAGGTACCTTGCAACTCAATCACTGTTTCTAGAGATAGCTTTCAAAGATAGTGTTTACATATAGAATCATACAATAACTGAGGTAGGAAAATACCTGTAAGATTGTGAAATCCAATCATTAATCCAGCACTTCCAATTCCACTGCTAAACCATGTACCTACCTGCCCTGTGTGAAAAACACAAGACAAGGAGCTGGAAGTTCGGTGGTTCCCTGCAAACTTCCAGATATCCTTATGAAACTTTGAGACATACATCTCTTGCTTCTTCTCCATTTATTAGAAATTTCAGAGTATGATGGCAACAAATTCTTAGCATCCCTGAAAAGCCAGAAATGACAGCTGAAGGCCCCCTCATCTTGTTTGCTTTATTATTGATGGTATGCAGGCAGCCTTCCACTTGCAGTATTTGAATAGCCTGGCTTCCAAACTGTTGCGTTGCTACAGCTTTTTGTGTGCATTAAATAAAGGCTCAGCACTCTTCATTTATTGTTTATGGGTATAGCAAGGCAGGGAAAACAGAGTCAGTCAGATTGGTGTGGGAGAGGAGCATCTGCTACTGGAGGGTATTTAGCTTCCTGTGCAGCAATCTGAGCTTCCCAGCCTGGCTTCTCTTTTCTTCCGCTGCTTTCTGAAAGTCATGACCTGTTGCAAAGTTCCCCTTTTGTCAAGCACTGTAAAAAAGGAAATGTCACTTTTTGCAAAGCCAATTAGCACCAGAACCTGTCCAGCTACGACAAGCATTTTGTAATCCCTCTTCTGAAATGGAGTGGTGGGGGGATGGGAAGGTTCTCCTTTTAAAAACGTTGCTCCATGAATCAATTACCCTTTTTTAATTGTAATTGTCGGTAGCAATTTGTGGAATGTGGCACACCGCAAATATTGTGCTCTGGTGCTTGAACAACCGAACACCCAAGCCCTGATGTCACTGTCAACACCCTGCTGCTGTTGGCAGGGAGGCAGTGCAGAAAGCGACTGCCCAAAGGAATTGTCTCTTCACTTACACTCTCGGGCTCCCTGCCAGCTCCTGTTTCCTCTAGCAGAATATGGAGAGAGAGAAAGCATCCTCTCTCAGAGAGTCAAGCATGTGAAAAGAAGATTTCACATGTGAAACTGAGACCTGGAAAACAATCACTTGGCTTCCCCTTCTTTAATTTATTTCCCATATGATGAAGAAATTTGCATAGTTTATTTTTAGCTTACTAGTCATTTTATGCGCCTAGAATCCCATTTTGAATATTGAGATGGGAATTAACCTTGGGAGCTTTATCATATAGGTGTTGCATGGTCCTTTACTTTTTTTTTTCTTTTTTTAATAAATGTGTAAACTCCATGGCAGAATAAGCACAAGGTTAGAAGATTTGTGCTCCTGATCATGTTTCTTCAGATAGAGTTCAAGGAAAAGTCTACTGAAGGTAGTTTGAGATGCAGACACTTCCACTGACAGCTGCTATTATCAGATGAAGCCCCTGTTCCATGTCCTTGAGCAAGTCTCACATCACATTTAAGCAAAGAGAATCAGTATGTGCTTATCTGAAGAAATGCTCATGTTTTTTATAAGGCCTCAAATTTGAACATACGAATGAGATGCAAGAACTATGGTTTAGCAGTTCCTACCTTTCCTGCAATGTGAATTTTCATAGAAGGCAAGTAAGAGCTTGCTGCCTTGTTCTAGTTCATCCCTGGAAGGTGTTAGGGAAAAACTGCTAGCAAGTGTCCAATTTCCTCCTTGCAAATGGAATCACCAATGTGCTGAAAAGTGCTTTCCTTTAACATGCAAATGACTGATAGAGGGCATGTCTAGCAGGGTATTACAACATCAAATATTAGTTGACTTTTTCAACTGTTTTGAAATTTTTTTTAATAATCACAGGAAGAAACTGCTGACACAAAACTCAATAAAGCACTAAAAAAAAAAAAAAAAATCAGCTCATTAATATCCAAACTAAGAATTCCTAAGCTAGCTATCCCTCTACAAATCATGGCCTTGGTGGCCTTGGATATTTCTTGAGGATGTCAGCTCTGTCCCATCTAAGTGTGCTTTGTTGTCCTCAGAAGTTACTTAACACGCAACAGTTTTGCAAGAACACGTATCTTTCTTGCATTCTCCAAATGATAACAAACACAAGCAAACATAAAAGGACATGGAGATGTGCAATTTCTCTAGCTACACCACTAATGCAAACCATTGTGGAGAGGATTTAATTCTGCAGAAATTAGCTGACCTCTTGCCACCAAAATGCAACAACACTAATTTTGCTTCACCAGAACAATCCTGCCTTCGTATGGAAAGTATATGTAACACTACTAAGGTTCTGTGCCTACCTCAGTATTACTCCACCTGAAAAAAATGGTATAAGAAGGCAGAGAAACAGCAACAGTGCAAAACTTTTGTCACTGTATCTCACAACTACAATTGAATCTAGCTCAGCAGTGGAGTCTGGTTTGTAGACAGCCGCAAATCGCCATCTAAGGCTGTGGTTTATACTGATTAAGGGGATCCATGGCTCTGTCCCAAAACGAATAGAAGGAAAGAAGGCAATGTTGCTACTGGACAAGCAGTTTCTGAAAAAAGGCCAGACCCCAGTCATACATTCACTCTTCTTTAATTTCAGGAGAACATTTCCTGCAGTGAAGTCAGGGGAATACTGACTTGCTTAAATGAATCTGCGAGAAGTTAGAGAATCCATAGAGGAGAACAATTATAAAGAATATTTATCTTACATTTGATCTCACTTAAAAATCAGGAAGATCTTTGGCAAAACTGAAAAGTCCAGGTCTGTAACATCACTGGGGATGCTTATGAACTGATCATCAGGGGAATTTCACAATTCCTAGTCATGAGGTTCAGTGCCCTAAAGTGTCAAAGCAGTAAATGGCCATAAACTCATTCTACAGAACTTGCTCAGAAGATAGCAAAGTTAGCTGGTATCCAGCACAGAAGATCTCTTGGGAACACTTTAATTCCATTATTATGAAAATATGTAAATATCCCAAATTTATATGATCTATTCCTGGTCCTTTCTTTCCTGCGAGGCTCCTTTGGCCTTTGGTCTAGCACAGTTCCTGACTTACACCATATTTATCTCAGTTTTGGAGGTGTTCATGCACTGCAGGAGGAAACTAGACTTTGTACACCACATCTCCAAATGCAATGGAGCTTGACTTTAGGAAGACCGTGGGCTGACTGGAAATCCTAGTTTACTATTGAAAGTATTGTTGAGATTGCCATGAGGACAAGATTTTATCCCCTCAGAAATACAGCTCTGGAAATGCTATGGAAAATAGCCAGCCAAGGGGGAGAGGACAACCATGAAACAGAGAAAGCAGGGTCCCCAGGGGTTTTACTGAAATGTATTTACAGTTCTCCTTGCATGTATTAATACTGTTTGTGACTCAGGGCTTTTAATTCAACATCAATCACACTTGCATCGAATGCCCTGCTGGAGGGCAAGGAGCAGGGAGGAATACGCTCCGTGGTTTCCATTCAGGTACACCAGAAGGAGCAGAAATTAAATGAATTCTCACACGCCTGCTCCTGAACCCCCTCAGACCTGGAAAGCGAGCGTGCCTTTGCTGCCGTGCAGGACTGCTGCCAGACAAAGGCGCAGAGATTTCCCCGTCTCCGTGTCAATCAGCCACACGCACACGCACACGGGCTCCCCCCGGCGTCTCTCGGCTCTTTCACGTGAATGCTTCAGTTTTTTCCCAATGCCGTATTTGCAGAAACAGGAATCACGCGTCCCATCCACTCCCCTGCAGCCGCTGCCCACCCGCCCAATGGTGCTGCGCTGGGAGCTGCTGCTGCTGGGGGCTGCCTGCCTGAACGCCCGAGCCCAGGGAGCGCTGAGCACATCTGGAACGCCCAGCGGGGGCAGGCAGCAGCCCAAAGCCAGCTCAGGGCCCCCAGAGCCCCGTGCTCGGCCCCAGCCCCGCTCCCAGCCCTCCTTCCCTCGGGCACGGGCGGACCGGGCCGGGCGGGCGGTGCCAGGCCGGGGCCGCCCCGCTACTTGGGAGCGGGGCTGGGGGCAGGGCCCGGCGGCGGCATCTGCCACAGCCATTGTCTGCTGGCCCGGCACCAGAGCCTGGCCCGGGGGCGTTGTGGGGTGGTTCCCGCCTTCCACTGCAGCAGGGGGGCAGCGGCATCAGCAATGGGATTTTCTGTCCCTGCATCGGGATGCAAAGGCAGCGGGGGGGTTGCGGGGCGCGCCGGCGACAGCTCCCGGAGCTCTGAAGGGACGAGGGTTTCGGCTTTTCCTTCTGAATGCCGACATTTGAGTAACGTTATCAGCGAGATGATATTGCTCAACCAGAGGAGCGTCACGCAGGGACATGGAGCGCAGCCACCGCCCGGCTCCAGCCAAGCACAGCCCTCCGCCGCCGCGGGAGGCGGCCGGCTCTGCCCTGCCCTGGCCCCGGTCCCGGCCTCTGTCCCGGTCCCAGCCCCTGGCCCGGCCGGGCACGGCCACGCGGCAGCCCCGGGACGGGGACCCGGGAGCCGGGGGTAGTGCCCGCCCTCCCCGGCCCGTCCTGGGGCTGTCTCCCGTGGCCGGGGCAGGGACCGAGGAGACTGGGGCGATGCTCGGCTCCGAGCCGAGCTGAAAGCTGTGCTTGTGTCCCTGAGTGTGTCGGTGTGTGCGTATGTGTGTGTATATGTGTGTGTGTGTGTAGCTTTGTGTGCGTGTACGCGTGTGCGCGGGGAGCAGGAGGGCTGGGCGAAGAAGGGAGGGGGAGGAAGCAAGGGGGTAAAGAAGAAAAGAGAGAGAGAAAAACGCGGAAAGCGGCAAAATGACATCACCTCATTTGCATAGGCGCGGGGATAAAACCGCCCCGCCAGCAAGCGCCCTTTATACTGGCGTGCGGAGCGGCGGCAGCAGCGAGCGGCGGGGCTGAGCATTACCGCGCGGCGACACCGGTGGGTCCCGCCGCACCCCCAGCACCCCCGGGTCCCTCGGCACAGGCAGCACGGACCCAGCCCCTTGCCGGGGGGGACTGCGGGCAGGGCAGGGCGCGGGGGCTTTTGTCCGGGGGGTGGAGGGAGGCGAGGAGGAAGGGAGGGGGGCTATTGTCCGCCTGGGGTATTGTCTGAGGGCGCGCCGCTGCAGGGCGGTGGCGTGCGAGGCGCAAGGCGGCTTTGTTGCCGGCACGGGGCTATATTTTTAAATTACTTTTCCTTTAACGAGTTAAAAACGCGGTCAGCGCCGGGCGCGTCCCCCCTATTGTACTCCGCAGCGCTCAGATAGTGGGACCTGCCCCCGGTGGAGACTGGCAGCGAACCGCAACGCTCGGGATGCTGGATTATACAGACGCTTCCCAAAAATTAGTATTATTTTAAAATATGTCGGGGGTGAAGCGTTTAACTCGCAGCGAGCTTGAGCGTGCGGCTCCCGCGGTGGGTGCGGCGGGCGCGGCCCCGCGGGCTCCGGGCAGCGCTGGCCGGGGGTGACGGGCTCTTCCTTCCCCTCCTCCGTGCGCAGAGACACCTGCCAACATGTCCGACAAACCAGACATGGCTGAGATCGAGAAATTTGACAAGTCCAAATTGAAGAAGACAGAGACGCAAGAGAAAAATCCGCTGCCTTCAAAAGAAAGTGAGTGAGGGCAGGCGGCAGGGAGGAGCAGGCGCGCAGGGAGGGAGGCAGGGAAGGAGGCAGACGGGCAGGAGGGAGGGAGGGAAGGATGAGGGGGGGAGGCGGGAGGAGACAAAGAGGGGCGGCAGGCGGGAGCCGGGGTGCGGCGGGTGGAGGGAGGGAGGATACGCCGCTGTGTCTGTGCTAGACAGCAAAAACCTGAACCCACCGCCTAGCAGCGCTTAATTTACAATTATCCACACCCTGTTTTGATATCTGGCTAAAAATATACATTTATTTTAGCAGTTCATAGCAATTGTCATGTGAATGCATATCAGGTTCTTGATTTTCATTTTGTTTTCTCCTTTTCTGTTTTTTTCCCCCCTTTTAGCAATTGAACAGGAGAAGCAAGCGGGTGAATCGTAATGAAATCTGCCCTTCCAAATTATGCACTGTACATTCCACAAGCATTGCCTTCTTATTTTACTTCTTTTAGCTGTTTAACTTTGTAAGATGCAAAGAGGTTGGATAAAGTTTAAAATGACTGTACTGCCCCTTTCACATCAAAAGAATAGAGAGAACTACTGACACTGAATGAAGGCGCTGCCTTTCCCTCTGCCTGTCTGGCTTTGGTCCTGGTGGCATGAAAGAGCTTGCATGTTGATGAAAGAAGAACTTGGGTGGGACTACAGTAAACTAGAGTAACACACGAATAAATGCAAAGCTGTACCAAGGTCCTGCGAGCTGTAAAATGCAGTTAATCGAGTGCCATTTTTTTTTTGTTCAAATGATTTTAATTATTGGAATGCACAATTTTTTTAATATGCAAATAAAATGTTTTAAAACATGGATGGTATTTATGTCCTCTATTTGGAGAACTGTATCAATGGATAAGAAGCATAAGAGCCGGTACTGAGACACAGGATACTATAAAACCTTTGGAGATGCCTCAAACATCAGTCACCATTCTCATTTTTTTCAATATGTGTGCTCACCAATACATAAACTTGTGATCCTCGAAGCTAGTTTTTAGACAGATTTCAGTAAAAAATTGCCTATCTTGTAATTTGTCACCATGTGAGTATATTCCTTTAAGTATTTCTTTTATGTAGAGATAAAGGCAAAAAAATCAAGCTGCATTTATTGCTTTGCCCCACCCATAGCAGAGCTGTTTTATTAAGAACCATTCTGTACTGTTGCAGAGATTCAGCCTCAGTTGTATAAATCCCTAATTAATTTGTTTAATAATTAAAGCTTGTTATTTTGATACAGCATTTAAAGGAAGCTGTAATTTGAATTTTAAGTCCAAGGTTGAACATGAGCTTTTTAGTTTCATAAAGCATTTGGTGGTTGGCGTTCCATGGAAATAAAAATAATTTTGCTACTATGTTGCTCATGTTTTGAACAATGTCTTTTAACAGTCTCCTTGATCCTAAGAACCAGTATCAAAGTTTCTAAAGCTACAGTCTTAAAAACTCAAAATGGACCATTTGGGGACAAAAACATTTGTGATAATGTATAAAATAAAGATCACAAAAAATCTGGCATGCAGATAGCCACACTTCAATGCTGGTTTACAGCAATTCTTTCAGACCTGGGACGGTTTTTTGGTTATTTTTCTGCAAATGACTGCGGGTAAAACCTGTGATCCAGGGAGATCAGTAGGAGTTGTCTTTAGTAGTCATGAATTTCATCAAAATGGAGTGAGTAATGATCATTCTGGGAAACAAAACTGCTGTCAGATAACCTGTAGGAGGGTGGTGAGCATGCTTCTGCAGCGCCTTAGTTTTATCTTATGGATTTGAGGCTGCATTAATTTCAGCCAGTTCCTGTAAAGCAAAATTAGTCTCTCTGGGGAAGCTTGAGTTTTGCTGAGGCTGCTGCCTTGGTGGGGTCACGTAGACTTGGGGTTTCATCCTATCACTGCTTCCTAAAAGCACTGGACTGCAACAATAATAAGCTGTCTTGGTTTTGGACCACTGAGGGCAGTGGGGCTCCTTTCCTTGGAGATTTGGTGGATGTCTGTGCTTTTGGAGAAGATGGGAGCCAGAGGGGTGCCACATGCTTGTGGGCACAGTCCCCAGCCCCCCAGCAGTGGAAAACTTGCAGAATTGAGAATTTGATAAGAATCTCCGTTCAGGCTTGAGATTTTTTTATGCAGTCCATGGGAAAATTTGGGAAGTCCTGGTGTCGTATAAGGACCTTCACAGTAATTTAAGGTGATGAGTTCAGGAAGGAAATGAACCATTTCTTGTGCTTGTTTAAGCTCTGATTTTATTCCCCATGTATAATGGGAAAGATGGGAAACTTACAAGCTGAGTTTCTGAAAAGTCAATTAATCAACTCCCAGCTACTGATCTTAATCAGGTAGCATGGGATGTGACATGACTTGGTGCAGAAGTGTACAGTATGAGCTGCACGTGCACAGAGGAGTAGAAGCAAGCGCTTGGGAAAAAACCAGCAAGGTTTCTGAGGGAGACAAAGCCTGAGGTATACACAGCTCTGCATAAGTCAATGAAAGTGCATGCTGTAATACAGCAGAGTTCAGCAAAAATGGAATGAGTAATGAGGCCTATGACTTCAGAACTGCACATCCAAAGTGATCAGTACTGGTCAAAGGGTACCACCAACTGCAGCTCAAGGTGCTGAAGCTCAGATCTGTTTTCAGGAGATAAGGCACTAAGCCACTACTACTGTTATAGCTCTGTTTCTGCCATCAAGGGCTGAACAAAATTACAAAATCAACTGTGAAGAAAATCTGCCAGGTCAAATTCAGGGATTACTGACTGGAGTCAATCATCCCCTGCTTTGCTCCTTGTTCATCTCTTTTCATACATTCAAATAAAATTGTGGCAGGTCTCTGCCATGCTCTGCATAGGCAGTACTGAGGTGGTCACATCTGACACCTATTTCACAGCAATGCAATTGATGATGTGAAACATGAAGGCTTGGAATCGATTGTAATACTCAGGACTGTGTTGGGTGTTAATAAAATCAGTCTCTTCAGCTGTCAGTCTACAAACTTTCATCAGCCACAAATTAACTAAAAAAAAAAATTACAGCCCAAAACCTGGTTATGAAAAAGGGTCATTAGAAAGAGAAACATATGGGTTTTGTTCTCACACTCAGTGCAGGCACAGTCTGCCAGCCCTATGAGACTTATGGTGTCTGGTGCTGCTGCCTCCCCACCCCTAGGCCAGAGGCAGCTCTGCCGAGGTGATGTGGTGAGAAGCTCTGCCCTCCAGTACTGAAACAAATTCTTCCTTTCTCAGTATTTCTCAGAAGATTTTCTCTCTCTTTCATGCACCTCCCCCGATATCATTAACTATACATATATTGGACAGAAAGCATATGCTAACCATATCCAAAATAGATCATTGTGGTATTAATTACAGAAATGTGGAGACTTCAATGTAAGCATTTTGGTCTTCTAGGCTATTTTTGTGCAATGTTGAATGTGTGATAAGACACCACTTCCCCTAGTAACCCTTTACTTCCCTAGAAACAGTGTAGAAATGAGCAGTTCCTATTGTGTATTGTGATCATATATGGCTGCCACATACATCTGCTGCACAGCGCAATTTTATTAATAAGGAACCCTGCACTACTCCAAGCATCATATAAAACACAATGAGCACATGATACAGTGTTCAGTGCAATAGTTCCACTGGGCTGATACTAAAATGGGTGTGAGAAATCAAAAAAATGCAGCTCTTGCTTGTTTGTTGGTATACAGGAGGATGACTATGCAAAGCAGCCTATGTCAGGCTTGTCCCTCTGTCAGATCCTCTGATGTGCCAGCTTTGTGCATTTTCAACTCAAACAGGCAAGGCAATCAAATTCTATAAAAATGGGATATTTTGTTAATTCAGAGAAAAAAATTGCAGACAACATTTATTCATTATTTGCATGCAGTCTGGCAGTTTCATTTGCCAGTGTCCTTGTGATATGGTGATTAAAAAAAAACAAACAACCACTCTGTGCTTTACCATACACCTGTTTCAAAATTCTGTGGCTTAATGACGGGAGTCGATTTTTCTCTTTGTTTTCAGCTGAAGTTAATGACCCGAATTCCAGTATTGCTTTTACTAGGTTTTAAAAATATCAGAACCCTCTCTGACTTCCTCTTCTTCCTGTTTAGAAAGAAAAAACTAAAAATTATACATGGTGGGTTCTCAGAGATGCTTAATTTGCCTCTGGGTTAATGAGCTTTTAGCATATTGGGAGCAGAGCAAAGATAATTTTTTTTCTCCTGTTTCTACAGTCATGAGGATTACAACATTGCCTTTTCTCCTTGTAATCAAAAACTGGAGTTCTCAGGAGATTTTTCAGTCTCATGGAGCTTGGGCTTTTTGAAAACTGTCAGGCACAAGAAGATTCATGCAATGTTATGAGAATTGGCAACTTGGAGGTTCTGCAACCACTGCTCCCTCACAGTAAGTTGATATTGATGGCTAAGCAGAGTCAAATATAGCCCTATAGCCTTAGTTTCAGGCCATAATATTCAAAGAATGGCATACTGAGATGACTAAATATGGGTGTTTTTTTAATTTCCAATTCCTGTGACCTCATATTTTCTGATATCTTTAGATTTATTTTTTGCCTAACACAGATTTTCCTTTCAGCAATGTTTTGGAACTGAGTGAGTGGATTTACTCCAACTTAAAAACATTTCCAGCATTTGAATAGTCCCCAGATATTCACCACGTTCCCCATCAAAACATTGTCTTGAAAAAAAATTTCATCATTGTATTGACCAAAGGCTTCTCAGTGATGAAGAAAATTTTTCCCACTATTGTAATTCTCATCACTTTATCTTTGGCATGTGCTCATGGGCTTGAAATTTGGGCCTGGAAAAAAATCTCATGTGATTTTTAGACACTGCAGATTCCATGAACAGACACTTGCAGTGCTCTTTGTTTGCATGTTATTGTCAAATATTGAGTACATGTACCACACTTAGAGATATGTTTGAAAGTGGAAAGAAAATCCCCAAAAAATCAAAACAGCTCGCCCCAGCAAACACCAAACCAAGAAGAGGAATAGGAATGCATTCGTGTGTTCTGTAATATCTGCCATGAGCAATTTAGTTATTCCTAGTATCTTCTAGTGGGGTGAAACTGCTGCGGTAACATTCGGGTCTCTAAAACCAGTCAAATGAACGCACTGAAATTTACTCTATAGACCAAAAGTATGAAATTCAGATTCCCAGATGGTTCAAATCTTACCTAATGTGTTTTGCACATTTCCATATATATATTACTTTATGCTTTATTTTTTATAGTGGTGTTTCCTTTCCATCTGATGTATAACTATATATAATATGGTTTATATTAGTCAGGTATAGCATTTTAAATGCTTTGAAATGGATAAATATTTCTTCAAGCACCATTTGAAGTTTTGGGATTTATCTTTAAAGCCTTCTGCTCAGCTAGATTTTGAGGTAAGATAATGCAGAGAATTGTGGAGCCACATAATAATCAGAAAAATCATTTGCTGGATTAATTTTTCATGCATCTTAGTTGACCTCATCTGCTCTATACCATGTGGTCTGTACAAGAAAATTGAGCCAACAGAAGGATATTCTTCATCCTTCTACCTAAACTGGACACTGCCTCTGAGAAATGCCACTGGGGCCCTGTGCAGTGTGAATAAAAAAGTCCATTCTTTGCACTGCATATTTTTACATTTTTCTTGATGTTTAATGTGAGAACCAATAGTGGGGAAAAAGAGGCCATTGCAGAGTGACATCCTCAGAAGAAAAGTGGACACGGCCCCAGGCATCCACACTGCCAAAGTGGAACCCATCTTCAGCAGGCTGAGCACCCCCAGGCTCACAGCAGGTTTGCTCACACCATTTGGGGTTCCTGTGAAGGGGACCTTTGGCAGGTCACCCACAGTGTCACCCTGTGGTGTGCATTGCTGGCAGCATCACAGGGTGGGCCCCAGGGCATTCCCCAGGGCAGCAGAGACTTTTTTATTTTAACATTTCAATTCAGCTTTCTCCTCACTTCAGTCTCAGAGTTTCAGCCACACAGAGCAGTAACACAAAATGCTTGAGCCCTGCTTGTACTAGGCTGGAATGCAGACCAGCCACAACCTTTTGCTCCTGGCCCAGTGATACATTTGCATCCAAAGAATGGGGCAAACAGCTTAAATCCATTACTTAAAGAAATTGATTACTATATTAATATATAATACATAATTGCAGTAAAGATACTGCAACCTGCATGAGGGCTTTGGCTGATGGGGGCCTGATACCTCCCTCTTCAAAAAATCC